ATTCCACACACTAATTTTATTTGAAAATAGTAGGCAAGGCCAACAAAACAAATTTTGCATTTTTATGCATCCACAAAGCCATTTTATATCTTCATAAATTTTATCATGAAAATGTCGAACAAATTTTTTCTTTTTCATTATATGGTCTCGAGCCAAAACTTTTTGAAATAAATTTTCAATATCACAATTACATTCTAAATTGCTAGCTATAATATAAGGGCTAAAATTAAAAATAAAATTATAAAAACTTACTTGTTAAAATAAAATGTGTGATGATATACAATTATACATACCTGGTACAAAATATTCAATTGTATGAATATACTTTTAAAGAAAATTATAAATATAGTTTTGTGAAGAAACGTACATAAAAATAACATAAAATAGTCTTTACTTTTTAAATATTAAAACAATCCACCTAGTTAAAATTGCTCCCTACCAGTGACTCATGGATGGAATCAGAGACGGTCTTGGTAGGTGTGTGGTGCGTGCATGCCAAATTCCGAGGGTGCCGATACCGGTTAATGTCAAATGCCTCTTTTGTCGCATCACTAGTATACATCAAAGGACGCCACAGGATTGCTGTAAATTTTAAACGTTTCTCACCATAGCTGTAAAAATCTAAATTTGTTAAACTTAAAAGTTCATTTGTTTTCTAATTAATTCGTTTTAGAACCAGGTGTCCACGGAAATTTCCAAAATTTACAACTTTTAGTCACTTTCATTGAACTGGAAAAATTTGTCTTTATTACATCTAATATTACGAAGAAATCAGCCCACACTGTACTCGGTTAAGTTTTTGTTTAAGTAAAATTCCGGCTCTTTCAGCAGGGTTTTATTTGTGTCTCCACTTCCCTAATCGCTTAATTATTTAACTACTACTTAAGTAGAAATAAGTCGAAACCAGTTAATAGTACTCGAATATTTGTAGTCTCGGGAAAAATGTGGAAAGACAAACTTTTTATGTCAAACGGATATATAAATCGTAAATTTAAAGAAAATAAATTCTAGAGATTTTTCTGTACCTCGTGCATCGCTCTCATTTATTAAATTTAGTTGTAAATGTCGCTGTCAAAGTAACAGTTAATTTTTTAACATTATACAAGAATTGTACACGTTTTTTTCTACATCCCTTATAGATGGGACGTACGAAATCGTAATATCACTGGTTTATCATTGAAATCTGTGAGTAATATAAAATCGGAAAGCGGAATAAAAATATCAAATATTTTAATGGATTTTTTAAACTCCTGTCAAGTATACAGAACTATCATAAAAACATAACCCAACCGATAAGAATTTACTGGTAAGTTATAAATCTACTCGCGATTCACATAATGGGGTGAGGGCAGCCAAATATCTAGTGGGCAGGCGGCTAAAGGCCCAGAACCAGTCCTGGATAGAATTGAATGCGGTATACGTGTAGCATCCACCCGAGGTCCTAGGCTTCCACCGGTTAAACCGGGTGAGGTTGATGCTCTGTAAAGCGCATGCACGAATCTGGCTTTTTGGATGCTGACAATACAGCGCTTCCACTCCGCCACTAATATTCGAATACACAATAGCAATCTTATCTTTTTTTTTCGCGTGTAGTATAGAAATTTGTAATAAGATACATAATGCGGTTATAATAAAATATTGTCGATTTTTTTCATATAATTAAAATTAATATGTATTTATTTTTTAGAAAATACAAGGGAAGCGGCGCATCCACCGCTTCCAATGACGGCACGCCACTGGGCTATACAACTCACGACTTGGAGTGTTGGTAGAGGGATGTATATATATATTAGTACTTGCACATTACGTGAACTTTAAGCTTTGCATTATTCAGGAGGTCCCAATTAACTAAATACGAACGTCCGGTGTAAACCGGAAGTCACATTCTTTCAATTCAAAAATTTTTCCGTGAAAGGCGTTAGATAACCGGCACGATTCTATTCGCATTTTTCACCGGATGCTCGCCCTCTGGTGTTTAGAAACAAAACTATTCTATCTGGGTCGTTTGATTCATTCTTGTGTATTATCAGCAGTAAAGATGAAAAGCGATAGAAAAAGCAACGCTTACTGTTGGTTCCAAATTGCAATTTCAAAGCCTTTACGAGAGCCTGATATAAGTTTTCGTCTATTCCCACACGAAAAACGGGAAAAACAGATGATTATTCGGAAATTGATCGGTTATATTTATGAGCTCTGAATTCTGAAAGAGTGGATTAGACTGTTAAGAATTGGCAGTTTCCCGATTGTCCAGCTTTCACGAACAAGTTATGCTGGCAATTTTAAAACATTTTGTTAAAGTTTAAAATGCCAGTAATTTTGTTTAGAACACAGGGCCGGATTTAAGCATTTCGAAGCCTTAAGCTGAACTCTGTAAGGTCCCTTACCAACTCTTCACAATTTTAGAAGTCAATCATAAAAAGAAAATAATTAAATCAGACTATGACTCTGATTTAATACGGATATTGGATATTGGAAGAAAAAGACGTGAGGTTTTACTAGTCTTCTGTTTTATAACTAAGTTTAATTAAATTTTTATACCCATTCCATTAAAAATCATTTTTTTAAAAATTGGTTTTATCAATTTTTTTAAAAAGATCTTATGTTAATTCTTAGAAAAAAATTAATGAAATACTACACAAAATAAACAGTGAATTACATTTTGTTGGTTTGTAAAAAAATGCTTATTACAAAATCTGACTTCAATTTTCTTTTTTGTACAAATGTTTGAGATCCCTTGAAAGTCGAGGCTTTTTACTTGTAAATCCGGCCCTGATGGGACAATGTCAAACTTGATGTTTTTTAACACAAAGGGCACAAATATGTATAGAACGATCTCACTCATTTGTTTCGATACCACACAATGACGTGTCCCGCTAACAATAATTGTTCTCCTTCTATAAAATTTCTCGATAAACGGCTACAGGCAGCATATATCACTATATCGGATAGTAATATATGACTAATTTACATTACTAGTTACAAACGACCCAGATAAAGTAGCCATTTTGTAAAAATGCAGCGCCCTCTATAGTTCATGAAAAACGCGAATTGCTAGCAGGTAAAGTATGATATACAGGGGCAAGCGGCTACTAATTCGAGATGGAGAGCATATATTTATAAAATCGTGCAAGAACATTGGTACTTATGGATCCGTTACTGTGATATTCTATTAAACCAACATCACTAGTCACAATTTCATGTCACTCTTTTCATTTTATAAAACCGTGCAAGAACTGTTTTTTACTAAAAACAGCATTTAACTGGAATTACTATTCAATGTTGTTCAAAAAGTAATTCAAAAGTAACAGTGTGCCTAACTCAAAAATTAAAATATTTGAATAATTATTTTAATTTTTTATCTTTTAACACGTAAAAGGTTTACAATGGCAAAACGATTTATCGACAGTGTTTTTAAAAACGTTTTGAAATTCGAACAAATATACTCTTTTGTGTCAATGGCGGAAGGGGAAGGGACTTAAGCCCCCCCTTGGATGCGCCATTACAATATTGTATTAGGTTTCAAACTGGTTTGCTGTCGAAATTTTTGAAAAATAGTAGGAAAATAGAAGTAGACATTTTTCTTTTCAATTATTACATCTTAAAGCTATGTAAAGAATATAAACTTCCCCGTATAAAAATTTCGAAACCTTGCGTAATTTAAATCCTACCACCAAAACAATGAGAAAACGAAATCCTCAGATGTTAAAATTGATATTATGTATTTACATAATAGTAAATTAGTAAGATTTGAATAATAAGAATTAGCCATTTTTCTTACAATTCTTATAAATTTTCTACGAAAAAATCGTACATCTTTCCAGTAAACAAAATGAAAGAAAGTGCCATTGTTTTATATTAATTTGTGAAATTTATCCTTTTTAAGTGACTTTTTTAGTGACGAAAGCAAATTTTATATATTTGGCTCGAGCGATAAAATGGGGTATTGAAAAAACCAGAACTGATATAAGAGATCATTTAAGACGTACAATTAAAAATGTGGTGGAGGAAGAGTTTCAGTTTTGGATGCGTTTCATCATTTGATATTAGAAATTTCATTTTTATTGATGGAAAGAGATCGGAGGTTATAGGTAAAAAATAATTCGTTCGCAATTGCTAAGAAGTTTCTCTTAAATAGTAGAGTTTGATCCAGATGCTTTGATGGTGCTGGAAGACGAACGCCAGCGATTGCTCTATAAATGTCTCGTTCTTTCTACAACTACATCTGATCTTCATCAGGTTAAGTTAATAAATATTTAAATTACATATCATATTTCTAGCAAATAAAAACTTAAATTTAATAATGTTCCGAAGTTGTTTTTGGTGTTAAAGATATGTACGAAATATGTTTTTATAAATTTTCATTGAAGTATTTTTCCAGACTATTCTTAAATTAAGGATTATTTATCCCATTAAGTATTTGAATACATAAATTACACGGTTATACTATTGAAGAAATATATAGTCTACGAATATTCTTGTGAGTGCAGATAAGTACAGAATCTATACTAATAAATTTTACTTAAACTATTTTTATGTAATTAATCTAATTGGTATTAGGAATATAAGTAAAGTTTGTTATATATGTTATAAGCTATTATTTTTATATAATTTGTGTTCCTGTTTATACTGTTATAGATATAAATATTCCTGATACAAATGCTTATAGAATGTATCATTGTATATCAGTTGCAAGGAATTTGGAAGAACATCTTTATTATACCAGTATTTAGAATTTGACAGAATTACGGGGGTAAGCCAAAAACCATTTTACAATTCAATTTTATTATTCCGAAGTATCATTTAACATTACAAATTTAATGGGAATTTGAAACTTTTCTGTTTACGTATTTTGTTGGTCGGTGGAGTTTATTTACTTTTATTTCTTCTCTACAAGAAAAGTAGATTTAATTTAACGAGTATATATTCATTACATCTAAGATTATAACTATAAACAATTCCGTACGATCGTATTATTTGTGTGATTGGAATATATACAATGAAATTTTGCAGTCTTTGCACGTACGAAGCTGTATCTGTATTATTTCGAGAGGACCGTTATCATACAAATGACAATATCTTTCGATGAATATAAATTATTTCTCAATGCTATTCACGTTAAAGATCGACGAAAATATTCCCAGCAACATTAAGTGCCAAGCACTAAATGAACATTTGATTGTGTAGCGAACAAAACGCGACTTTCCTGCATCTAATTAATTAAAAAAATAATCATTTAAACTGATCAGACAGAGAATTATTTGGATGGTTGATAACAGAATTGTTATACAAATGTATATCATTCTATTTGATTTTATATAAAACAATTTGCATTTGAATACCGTATACACTGTACACATTTACACACACAAATGTGTTATCATTTCAACATAGCTGTTACGAATCGTCATTAATTAATAAACTATTTTCAAGTGTTCACGTTGCTAAGTCTCATTCTTTTCAAGAATCGTATTAGCGTATTTACTAAAATGGATTATTTCACACTTAATTTCATTTACCACGCGCTTAACTGATTTTAAAGTATAACAGAAGTTCCGCATCACTTAGTAAGGTCTCGACAGTATTCGTACGAATAATCATTACAAATGCTATTGAGGTCAATTTTTTTTCGTTCCGAATTGACCAGTATTGCGAATTCTTTCCAGTAATTAATTTAAATAAACTGCATTCATTTAACTAATTAGCCTATTTTACAATTCGCATGTAACGCCACAAAAAAGAAGGTAGAGATATCTCTGAAAACGATCAAGTTTTCTAATCATCTTCGACTGAAAATAAGCGTGAAGCCGTCGACGTAAAGTCCTTCTCGACATCACACTTAAGAATTAAATTGCCGTATATATTAGCATTTTAAATGTTCCGATTCTCTTCGAAATCCTATTTCGTATTTTTGTCGTTAGATGGCGATAGGCGTTGACAAAGAATGCTTTCAGTTGGGCGTCTGTGTTTAAAACTCAACGTTTGATAACATTTTTGTAAAAAATTTAATAACCTTTGCAAATAATCTCTCGTACGCAATATCTTAAGAATTTTTTTTTTGATTTATAGCTTTCCGCTAATTCGTTTCGTTAAAAAGCCAGCAGCTTTCGCATGCACGCGAAGGGAATAAAATACGATAATTGATTTATCAAAGTGTAATTAGGGATTGGCCAGTTGACGTGGCATTTCTGCTTATTAAAGCCGTGGCAATGTAACAAATGCCTGGTAATTTATTTTTGGCCAACACTTTCCACCGCCGCAGCTGGATGTGCAGCGACCCCGTGACCCTCTTCCAAAACTAGTCCCGTCTGGAGAATGCCAGGTGAACGCCCTCTCCGACATACCAAAATCCCCGTTAGAGGGCATTACCGATCTAAGAGGAAGGGTCATAGCCCTACTATAATGAATTTTGCAATGAGAGGAGTCGAAATGGAAAATTCTTGTTACAAACTTTATTTCTTTAAATGGCTAAAAAGTTCAGGGACAATACAATAGAAATTGCACGAAAAACCGAACAAATCATATGCCACGCCATTTGAGAAACATCCCCGTCTAGGCACGTGGGAATATAGCACCACCATCTTCGAAAGACGAGTCCAAACAGGGCAGACTAACTTTAAAAAAGGCCTTGTCCTCATCTATGTACAGATGGCATGGAATGATTTGATTTGGAATGAATGAAGCTCTGCCCACTCGGCCAGCTGAGAGAATGGCGATTGGCACAATGTCGCGCTGATGGACAGAATGAGTCGAGATTCTAACCGATGCAATATTATGGAACGTTGACAACTTATAACTTAACAGTTAATATATAAAAATTTACCGCGGCGAAATAACCACAAACAAAACCGCGTTTCACAAACGCGGTCTTTCGTTGTACTCGAGAATTATTTACCCAACAGTCCCATATCTTCTAAAAGGGGAAACGGGGAGCCGGTATCCTGGATCACCTGTTCCAGAGAGAGTAGATCGGAAGCTGTGCAGTCCAGGTGATCCAGGAAATCCAGGCTAAACTGCGCATTTTCTGACGTAGAGGTTGCCGTAGTGGTCGGAACTTGGACGGTATCGTACAACTGATTGGTGCTAGTCATGATGGATGGCGACGACATCTGGTTAGCGTATCCTCTCCCGCTGTTGGATACTGCTAGATGAGTCGAAGGTGGCACTACTTGAGTCTGGTGATGAGTAACTGGCGAAGGTCGCTGAGACCGAATGGCACCTCCGGTCATCCGAATGGACGACTGATTGGCCACGTAATTCTCTAAACTCGTTGCCAGATTCGAATTATTATAGTTCGTCTGTTGAGGGGCGGGAGGACGGCCGTAGGGGAGTCGCAGCGTTTGGGCTCTGCCCACTCCCGGGTGCTGTGGCGTGAAATTCTGCCTCCATTCCGTGCCCAGACCCGGAGGGCGTTGAGATATATTCAATCCTTCAGGACCCACGTTGACGTTAGGCGGTCTCTGATGTTTAGACAGCGCATTCGTGTAAATGGGCTTATTAGTGACCGCGTTCGGGCCCGCATCCTGCTGACTGTAATGAGGTGGAGCTGCGTTTTGCTGAAGAGAGATCTGACTCTGTAAACCGTCCTGATAAGATCGATTCAACCCTCTCCGACTCAACTCGGTGGTCTGCATAATTCGTTGGTTTTGCGAAGCGACGGTCAGTCCTCGTATATTATCTCTCACGAGATGTTGTTGTTGTTGGACAGAAATAGCTAAACCGGTGCCGGCGTGGCGCGCATAATCCGGAGGAGGTGGCCTTTGTTGAGGCACGAACCTAACGGGTGATGTCTGACCGATGGGCTGATGATTATTTTCTGCACTGTACTGAGCGGCGCCGAAATTAACTTTCTGAATCTGAGACATATGGAAGTTGGCCACCGAATTTGAATTTGGGGGATAATTAACAAATAATCCGCTCTGTTGTTGATTAGTCGTGGTAGTTCCCTGTTTACTGCCATCGAGTCTCAATTGTTGTTCTTGGGATACCTACAAAATAAAGCAAGAATTTAATGTTAAACTTTTATTCGATTTTACGAAATAATTTAACGTAATCGGTAATTAAATTATATTTACAAACATAATTCGAAATTTTTAAAAATCAATACACGTCTAAATAAATCCTAAAGGTCGAGATAAAAGTTAATGCAAATAATAATAACAACAAAGATTTTTAAAGATTATCTGCGACAAAAATCTACCCACTGCGCCAGAAAAAGATTTCGTACCCAGAATGTACCTCAGACGGCGATGTCCTACCATCGACAACAGCTGAAAGCAGGAAATGTAGGACACGTCGGTCCAATAAGCAAGAAGCTGTACCTGCACTCATTCCGCTACAAATATTCTCTTAAAAATCCTTAGCTTCTGCAATCGAACTTTTCATATGTTATATTTTTCTATAATTAGATTTCTAACGTTGACGTTCAGCGGTTAGAAAGACTTTTATATTTACTTTAACTGTTATTTTATAAGAAATTTTTGTTTGTGAGATTACACTCACCAATTCTAATTATCTCAAATTTCATTTACACACAAATGAAATTCAGATGCTACCAAATTTCATCCATACGCATGAGGGTACTCAAGGGAGTTCCAATATCAATTTATCCATCGTCTATTATTACAATATTAACCAAAAGTTGCCAGATTCCGACTGACTGTAATTCGATCTCGTCTTTCTATACAATATAAAAATTTCATTTTCCCAACATTGCATTTACACAACGAATTGATGTTTTCCGATCGGAGAGCTTTATTTTATTTATTATTTTTTCAAGTTATAACGGATGTCTAATTATTTTTAAAGAAGTTTTATCAACATCGCTATAAAGGGAATTGCATCTGAGAGGAGGAGAATGTAATTTATTGTTAATGGCATATGAAAGGATCGAATGTGACAGAAGAAATTTTTAAATCGTCCGATTGGCAGGCGGCCGGTGTGTTATCTGAAACCGCACTCTAGTCCCTGACAGATATATAGAGCGAGGACAAAGTTCGAGATGCACGTGGCCATCAAAAGAGCACGTTTTTCTCCTCGACATATGCGCTCGGAGATCATTTGATTTAAAAAATTTACAAGAAATAAAGTAATTTATAAAAGTAAATAAATCACAAATATGCGAGTATAATTTGTGTAATAATATTAAATACATATTTACCTGTAGATGTTGAGTATTTTGATTGATCTGAATTTGTTGAGTTTGACTCAGATGAATAGATGCTGATGAAGGTCTAGGCACACCAGATGAACTGTACTGCAGAGTTGGCGGAGGGGTAATTCTTGGTCCCTGTGCTCTCAAAAATCCCGGACTTTGTCTCTGGTTTTGTCCTGTCGGTTCCGTGAAATGAGAGAGCGGACGTGTTGTGCCATACGTCACAGCTCCTCCCAAACCTAACTGTGGTTTTTGTTCTAAATTTGCGCTACCGCAATAATTTGGACGTAATTTTTGTTCGTTGATTTGTTGTTGAAGAGTTTGTCGCTTATGAACTTCGTCAACCGAAGTGTTGGACGAAAAATTTTCTTGCTTGAAAATCATACCATTGTTAGGTCTGACCATAGAATTTTGAAATCCCTGCTGGCGATTATAGCTCATAGTTGGGAACATTCCCGCCTTTTGAACCTGATTTAAATTAGTCGATGTATTGTTGAGAAAATTTGATCTAATGGAAGTCAAAGCATCAGAAAAACTGTCTGAACCGAATGGAGAGCGAGAATGTGGTGATCCCATTCCTAAAGATATGTTTTGTTGTTGTGATGACTGTGGTTGATGATGTTGGGATTGCTGTTGTTGGGTTTGCTGTGGTTGAGACTGTTGTTGTTGCTGTTGTTGTTGGGACTGAGGTTGCTGTTGCTGCTTTTGTTGCATATTTTGATGTTGTTCGGCCATCTGTTTGAGAGTCAATGCTGCCGGGCTAGGTTCTGTCAGTTTAAAATCTAATCCCAAGCCGGAAAGATTATTAGAATTTGGAAACACCGTCGTAGATACACTTTGCGAATTTAGATTATTGGCAACTGTTGCTCCCAGATCGAAAATAGATGATGATGAATGAGGTGATTGACCGGTAGGAATCTGAGCTGCAGTGAAATGCTGTGAAGTGGACGGACTACCCACTAATTTTCCCATGTCCATCATTGTAGATGTGAGTGTATCCTTATCTCCCTCGTTGTCTTTAACACTACTGACGCTATCTTCGAACATAAGAAGATCTGAAGGATTGGTGAACACATCTTCGATCAGATCCTTTAAAATATCGGGATGAAAAACATCGTCACCGGAATCGTCCGGAAAATTAAGATTGGAAAATGTATCGGAAAACCTCTCCACACGCGATGGACCATCGTTTGTGGGATCGAGATTTGGCATATCATCGTTTATGGTATGATTACAGCACTGACCTGTAATATCTTTTTCCTGTTTACATTCGACATTTGTGCCAACAGAAATAGAACTATTACCAGAAACTGCCGGACTACCAGTAGATACACTACTTGTTGCTGTAGCCAGAGGCGAACCCGAAGTTTTCACACTTCCATTCAATGCTTTCACCGTAACATTAGTCTGAATGGTCTGAGAATGTTGTGCATGCGACACATTAGAACTGGTAAATTGTTGAACAATCTGAACGGAAAAACTGGGCAATGGTTGTTGCTGCTGTTGTTGCGATTGCTGGGATTGAGACTGTTGCTGCTGCTGCTGTTGTTGGAGAGACGGTTGTTGTGATTCTTTGTCGCAATTTCCAGATTTAATGGTATTTTGATCAGGATAGCTGTTTCTGGCTAATTTACTTGAATGTCGTAAATCATCGGAAAGGCCATCTGCCGTCACTGGTGAACCTAATATTTCTGCTGGTCTTTTTGCTAATTTCGGACCCTGTAATGAATAGTTTATTATTACTAAAAAGTCTTTAAAACATATTAAATAATTTCTAAGTTGCTAAAACTCCACAAAAACAATTTTAAATGTTAACTGTAGCGTGTTAGTAAACGTATAAAGTAAAAAATTAATAGTGAATTAATTCTTTATCAAAATTCTATAACAGATAAATTTCCTTTAAAAATCTGTTCATTACTTTACATTTCATCCGCGAATTTCGATATTTTCAGGAGTGAATGGAGCCATTCGCTATTCTAAATACACAAAAAAGAATATCGAACAATGCAATTAAATTCTACATGAATTGTTAAACTGCATTCAAAACTTTAACAGCAGTAAAACTTTTATACTAAGTTAAATACACTACATACTCTGATAATTCAGAGTTCTAAAACGGATATTAACTTTTCAATAAGAACATCCAAACAGCATCGTAGTGATAATTAATGAATCATTAAGCAAGGTCATCATTTTGATGAAATTGTGTTTGTTAGCCGGACACATCCTTCGTTTTGTGGGATGCATTTATGTCGCAGTCATGCATCATTTCAAACAAAGGATCACGACTTCGGGTCAATGGCATATCGTATCTTACGCTCTATCGTTATCATTAATATAAAATATTTCACTCGAATACAATCGACACTATACAAATAAATCTAAATCCGAAATAAGAGTAAATCCGATATATTTATTATATTATTGTCATTGAAGCACTTCTTAAAAAAGAGAGATGTCGATATTGCAGCAGTCAAACGAATTAAAACATATCAATTGTTGGAATCAGAACCTCGATACCTGTGTATTGTCATTTGTTTATAACAATGACCAGTTTCTTGTCCCAATTGCGAAATGTAAAATACAGGGAATGATATACTTGTTAAATCTGACAAATAATAAAGCTTAAAAGTATACGATATAGAACAATGACGATTATTCTGTATTACATTTTCTGGATTTAATGTATGCATTTTAACAAATCTCCTATCTAACGTATTAACAAAAGCATTTGATAAAGAGAATTTACGTTTTCACACAGGAACTATTTTGGATATTTAACAATATATTAAAATGATAATAATAAATAAATAAATCAGGGTTTGTTTTCATTCAAGGCCGATACCCAGTCGACTTGGTGTATTCGCTCATCTGTAAGATACTGTTCGAAAGTTCAAGGACATTTAGTGTATCACGTGCTTTTCTGCGACCAATCGTTTCGCTACGAAGTTTACACGCAACTGGACTCGCTTACAAAACAATTAAAGAATTTAAAAAAGTAGAACGTAGCGCGATAATTATGTCGAAAACTTATCTAAATTTGTTTGATTATTTCAATATATTAAAGCGTCTTTTTAATTTACAGCGTTTAAATTAAATTATTAATGAAATCTGGTTTGAACACAAATTAGAAATCATTATTTTTATAGAAAAACGAATTTATCAGAAAAAAATTATTATTAATTCTTTCATTCAAAATTGTTTTGAAAATTTTTAAAAACTGAAAAATTTCAAAATTATTATATGAATATCTTCATATAAACTAATCTACATAAAAAAAAATACAATATTGACAGAAAATAATCATTAATAAATCGAGATTTCAGGATTAATTCCTATGAATTTAAGAACCTTTCTATCGTTTTTATGACATCAACTTAAAAGCCAGTGGACATTTTTGAATTTATATGTTTATTTAAACTAAAAATAATAATTTCAACATCTTGTTCATAACAATGACCTCGCGATAAGATTAAACACATTCATTACATTTACACCATCCAAAAATCGTAAAACACACTCGATACTAACAATACATTTAATATCGACAGTAAATTAATACTATTTAAAAAGATAATGCATAATTTGATGAAAGTAATTTAACGTTATTCTATTACAATTAAACAAAAAATATTTTTAATTTTACAAAATTGTGAAAACGATAAATTCGTTTTATTCTGTAATTAGTTATTTATAAACGTTTTATATAAATCTACTTTTAATCAATATTGATTAAAATGTCACGTAATCTTTAAAAGGTAATTATATATAACTATGAATGAAAAACTATATGAATAAAATTCATAGAGTTTTTCATTTATTAAATCAAATTATTTTTATTCTCACATTTTATAATTATACATTTAAACGTTTAATTAAGTCAATTTAAATGTTATGAAACAAACGACATTCTTATTTCACAAACTTTACAAATAAATCATATTCTAGATCAAAGATTATCCAAAGGAATTTACTTGGGGAAAATCGAGAAAATTGACGTTGTTCGGATAGAAAAACGACTCAGTAATAGAGTTGGAATTCCATTACTTTTTGTACAAGTCTGCCGTCTAAGAGTATCACCATTTTAATGAACTTGCCTCGAAGCACCTTAATAATAAAGTGCATGGCCTCAAGCTTTAAAAATTATCACAGAGTGATAAGACAGAATCTAACCGAACATCTAATTTGTTTTAATTAAACAAATTTTAGTTATTTACACTTTCTCTAATTTGTTTAATCTGTTTCTTTCCATAAATCTAACTGAACGCTAATATATTAAGAAATAATCCAGTAAAGAATTAAATATTATCGAAAACTTAAAATACATTTTAAATTTATAACGGAAGACAAAAATATTTTAGAAATCATGCTAAGAATGACCACCATCTGTGGGTGAAAAATGCTTTCCGGCCTGTCTAAAATTTCAATGGAGTCACACTTCAGTAAATCAGTTAACCTCGATGAAAGAGATTAAAGAATTTGCATCAGAAAAGCCGGAAGTATACATTATGAAAATATTACTACATTTTCCCTTTAATCGTGAATAATAACTATTTTAAAAAATGAACGTAAATATATAAATAATTGATAGTGCAAGATGCCTTAGTCTAGCATTCAATTTCTATATTGTTTTCCACATATAGTATCTCTCTGAATTCATTATTATTCAAACATGCCGAAACTAAAAACGTAAACATTGATAAAGATAAGTGATTTAATAAAACGAAAACTGGAGAAATAATTTTAGTTATGAACTTTTTAGTTATGAACTTTTATATAGGCCTATAACAGCATTAAAGTTATGAGTTTTTCTTCTCCCCAAAGTTATGCGGATATAGTTAACTAATTTCCTCTCATGCTACACTAATACCTTGCTATGTAGATCGCTAAAGCCTACAGAAATACTAAATTCTATTATCGAAATATACTTTTCATATTTTAATTTATTGCAGTACAAAGGAAGAAAAATAGCAGCTTATCGAAAATCCTAAAAACAAACTGAAGGCAAACAAAAATCAATTCTCAGCTTAATTTTTACAGATGCTCGAGGGAAACAACTTCCCTATATTTATCACTGTCAACACTACCTTAGCTTGTATGCAAATACACCGATTTGTCATTCGAACAATCGATGTCTTGGCACATGACGTCACATTCAATTTAACATTTACATTTGACAAGTAAAAAGTGCCACAAACTCTGCTCTTAAAACACTCTTTGTAACAACTCAAAACTCAATAGTTTACTATTACTTTATAGTATAATTTAGTTAATTTTATTCAAGTCTACATCTATACGAAAAATAAACGACTTTATTATGTTTATTTGCTCAAATCTTTTATTTCAAAATGTAATGTAGAAATCAATCCCATTAAAAACATATCGCAATTATATCTCAGTAAAAATGATAAAAATATGGAGCACAATTTTTCTTTGTGAGAACTTGTATACAGTATATATTCCTTTAAGGTACAATCGTAACTGTAACGGCGAAACAGTTTAGTCTAACATATGACAAGACATAAGTACAGCATTTATAGGGATTTATATTTAGTGCATGACAATGTCCCAATTACAAGTTCTCTGGAATGATATACCGGTATACTTCGTTTTATAGATACGCTGTTACTACTCTCGTCCGCTTAATAAAACATGACTTTAGATGAATAAACGGGTTACTACGATTCTATAAATCTCTGTGTACTAGGTACTGGATTCATTCTTCTGTTTGCAGTTTATTTCCCAATCTATTAAAAAAATTGCTATTAAATTTTGCACTCTTCTATCAGCTTTCTATAAAAAAAAAATCTTGAAAAGAATTAAAATGTTCTATAGAAAATTTACATTAGTTTCCTCTCCCTCCTCTACAGATAATGTTCCTCTCAGGATATCATGCTGTTCATAACACCATTATTTATTAACAAGGGTGGAAAAACTCGTTGGGTTAACAACACACACAACTCTAAGAAACGATAAAAACCGTATATAATACTAAGCCGAGTCTGTTTTTAGAACCAACTGAAACATATTTTATTATTAAAAAATAATTGTACAGTGATACCCCGAACTTACGCGATAGGTGGGACCGAGCGATAACCGCGTAAGTCGGGGTATAATTTCGCAATTTGTGTAAAATCCAAATTCATATCTATGTAAGCAAATAAATGTTCTCATTAATCTTATCACATCTTTTGATTCATTCATGGTTACAAGAAATCACCATATAGAGTCTCTCGAGTCTCCGTAGATATAACAAACACAGAAATAAATAACACAAAATAAATTGTAGCTATGCATTGATTCCGCGCGACACATCCGAACATGTAAGCTGAACAATAGTGTGGGGGGAGTGAGGAACGTGTAAGCTGAACAATAGTGTGGGGGGAGTGAGGAACGTGTAAGCTGAACAATAGTGTGGGGGGAGTGAGTAATCAAGAGCTGCGTGCTGCTCAAACAAAAGACGAATTGACGAGATTTGAAAATCGCGTAACTCCGGGTTCGCGTAAGTCGAGGTATTACTGTATTGAAAAAATACTGACTTCAATAACATAGGATAGTATTGCAACATTGAAGATGCTGAATCTTTTTAAAATAAAAATATATAAATCCTTAGACAATGGAACAATTTGGCATTCTTGATTTAAGAACAAAGTCTGATATAATGCAATCTGGTAACTTAGTGAGGTCAAAACTTTGGATTAATAATTTTAGTTANAATA